GCAGAGTGAACTGGGTCTGTTCAGCCTTGAGAAAAGAAGACTGAGAGGGGACCTGATCCAGGTCTATAAATATCTAAGGTGTGGGGGGCAGAATGGCAAGGCCGGACTGTTTTCAGTGGTGAGTGGAGACAGGACAAGGGGAAACGGCCGGAAACTGCAGCATAGGAAGTTCTGCACAAATGTGTGCAAGAACTTCTTTACAGTGAGGTGACGGAGCACTGGAACAGGCTGCCCAGGGAGGTGGTGGAGTCTCTTCTGGAGATGTTCAAGTCTCACCTGGACACCTACTTGTGTGACTTGGTGTAGGGAACCTGCTTTGGCAGGGGGGTTGGACTCGATGATCTCTGGAGGTCCCTTCCAACCCCAACAATTCTGTGATTCTGTGATTCTATGTTTCCATCAGAAAGCAGATGAGACTGGAGCTGAAGGCAGGAGATTACATGTATGCAGAAAAAATTCTCTCACTGACAATTGCATTCAGTATTTATACTCCTGAAATCAGCTTTGATGGACTACAGGCCAGGGGTTTTTAATCTCTTCCTTCCTATCATGCCTTGTACACAGAGCAGCTCTTGTACAAAACATCACCCAGTTTTATGTTCTGTTTTAAAGAGTCATCGGAGAGGAAAGCAAATTGATGTAATACCTTTCAGGTAAAGGTACAGACCAGCAAATATTAAAAAGCACAGGAATTAAAGTGATACACCATCAAAGAACTAAAAGGGGGCAACTCTAACAGTTATGAAAAACATACTAGCTTTCCCTTGCTTCCAAAGAACAGGAATCCAACTATCCATTTTAGCCTTTTGTGAAACGTTCCTCATACTTATCAGCCATTTTCCTGGTGCTATCGTTTCTGCTACTCTTTGACAGATGGCAAATCAGAAGCAGGCACCGAAATAGGGCTCAGCGTCACTAGTGACAGGAAAACAGTTTGCAGGTCGTTATCACTGTGCCATGCACGTGCACCATGATTTACAGGGGTTTGCTTCATGCAACACATAGCCAGTCCTGGTCTGATCATACCAATGGAGGAGGCTGTGTTTCATAACATAATCTTGTAATCTGAACCTGAGGACCAGGAGAAATTTGTGTTCAAAATCATTACCCATGTCCCAGAAACAAGAGAATCAAACAAAAGGAGGGAACAATAGAGTTGATAAAATTCAGTTACATTTTTCTAAATGTTCAGATGTGGTTTATATGGTAGAAATTAGAATTGTATTCTGACAGAAGCTCTCTTTTTTTCCAGTAGCAGCTTTCAAATCTTTGGGAGTCAATTTTTTTTTCCCCCAAGAATATATCAGTGAGTATTTATAATTTAAATGCATACTTTTAGATAGACTAAAAGATAATGTAACTCATTCAAATATTATTTTTTCCAAACTACATTTTGTGCCTGTTAACCTTTTCAGGATTTTTGGAAAATGACAAAAGCTGTTAAAATTTATGTTGAAGAGAATTTTAGCTTGGAAAAATACAATGAGAAGCAAATATTTTACAAAAGTTTGAGAGACTATTTTTTCATGTCTAGACATAGAAGCCAAAGCAAATGAAACATGGAATGAATAGGCATGTGGTTTTGATCATCTGAATCTAAGTACCTTTCAACATTAATTAGTGCATGCAGAATTAGTTTTGCCTTTCGCTATCAATTTTTTCAGGTGCGACTTTTGAGAGCTGAGTGCAGTTTTATTTCATTTTTAAATAATTATGTCAGAAGCCATCTCACTGCCCTTATTCACACAGCTTTGTCCTGGCTCGTGTTCTTAAGGGCAACCTGGCACAGTTTCACTGTGTTTCCTCAGTAACTTCCTCTAAACATGCGTGTTATTCCTTTCATTTAACTAACACAAATAATCCCTACTAATGACAAGCCACACAGCTATGCCCTAGAGTGGATCAGACTATCCGTATTTAAAAAAAAGAAAACACAATTATAATTCTTGAACAGTCCTAGTTTTGTAACTGAGGAGGTAAATCACTCATTTTAAGAGAAGGGATAAATATCACAGAGCTAAGTTTAAAAAAAAATGATAACAGGTTTCTAAAATTGGGCAAGGGTCCTAAATAAATGCTGTTTTTAAATAGCCTTGTATCTAGGTTGTTATAAAGAAATCATCCAATTAGGTGCCTACTTTGCGGACACGGACAACAGTGTTCCTTACCTGTGTTTTCATTGTGTGATCCATAAATGAAATCATTACTTCTCTATATATCAGCTTGCATTGCTGCAGCTCCTACAACAACCAGTAACGGTCCAGCACCCCACTTTACTAAATATTTTATATACATGCATTAGAGCATATATACACTCTGCAGAGTTTATAATTTGAGCATAGAACAAGAGGTGAGAGAGACAGGCTGGTGGAGGAAAGCAGGGAAACAGACACCGCTGTTGAACATGATATGAAGTAGTCACAGCACATCAGCAGCTTCACTTTGCCAATTTTGGGGAGTTTGTTTTTCTTGAGCTTTTTTATAGACATCAAAGCAAAGAAGTTTTAATGAGGGTCTGAAGGAGAATAATGAGGTACTTTTGCAGATGTCTGCAGGGTGTTCCTCCTCACTCAAAGGGGCAACATGTACAAAGACACTTTGAAAAACAAGTGAGCAATGGAGGTTGGCATCTTAGTTCTTTTGAAACGAAAGTCCCTGATGCTGACCTCATTTACACTGGTGAAAGCTGTAACTCCTGTGAAGTCAATGAAGTCCCTGTAGCATAAAATTGGTCCTGGATTGCAGTCTGCCAGAACTGTCTTTCAGAAGCCATCACGACCACTGAAACCCTATTTCAGAAATACTTTCAGCTCATTTTTGAATTTATTGTGAGGTATATTTGCATCCCTCTACCACTAAAAGGTCTTGAAAGTGTGTGTTAGTAAGCACTTGCCAAAAATGTGTAATAGAATTTAATGTAAACAAGAATATGACCACTTTGATTTTTGTATTGCAAATTGTCATGTGTGCGCATGACTATATATGAACAAATATGCATGTGCATAAATGTATATGTACATGTATGTGCACACAGCACACACATACATTTATATACATTCCCTTGCATTCTCATGTGGAGGGATACAACTTCACATCTCTGGTAGGGAACAAGGTAATTAATTTTGTACTAAGAAATAGCATGTTATCTTCATTCCTATTTTTTACATATCTCTGTGCCTAAATTACCTATGATGCATTCATTATATACATGCAGAAGAGCATGTCACTTCAGAATTTTAAGGGAATAAAACAATTTTCACCACTTGACCTCAACTGCCCAGTTGTATCCAAATGTGCAGGTCATATCCAAACATAGCTGGAAGCCCAGGACCCCTTAAATGAAGACTCAGCCATTTGTGTCCATCTCCTCCATGTGAGCTACCTGAACACAGGCTGAAATCACACTGCCTGCATATGCCTGCGTTATCTGATATCAAGGCCCTTCTACAGAATACCTCAGGCTATCTTATTTACCCTGAGTGCATCATGTGACACTTCTTGAAGGACAGATGCGACGTACAGAACCAGGCACAAATGTCAGGATCTGGCCGCGGGGTAGGTAAATGTGTCACTCCCTCTTCTCTCACATACAAGGATATTCCCGAGGGAAACATGAGTGGGATGGCCCCAGAGCGGGCTTGGGGGACATCTCCTGGGAGAGGTTTGTGGTCTGGCTATGAACTGGGCCTTGGATTACCCCAGGGAACTGGTCCTGCATTGGGAGGGTGCTGCAGACACTAAGTTGCACTGCAGGCATCCCCTCACAGGACTCACAAACAATCAGAGCTGCCAGAGGCTCTCAGCACAGCAAGCTTGGCCTTCAGAAGTAGAAAGGGCAGGGAGGCTCAGCTGGGGATAGCCCTGGAGACCTCCTCACTCCTCAAAGTCCAACCACTGCTGAGTTTTTATTTCCCCTTCCCCACTAGTTCAGTTCAGTGGAAGAGCACAGCCAGTTAGAACCTGAGAAATCAAACAGCACTGTCTTGGCAAGACTACAGGAACTAAATATGCAACATAAATTCAGTTCTGGGAGCTAAGTATTGCAGAGGACACTGCAAGTAACATATCCGGTTCTGCAGAATCTACAGATTTATAGGAAACACACTGAGCAAAAACCTGAGAATTAGATTTTCACGATCGACATTTCTCTACTTAAAGAGAAGAAAGAAAAGGTGTTAGAAACAGAGTAGGAATCTAAAAGATGTTATTCCTGAGCTTATCTCTTTACATGGGGCCAAGGTATATGTTAAGTATACTGCCACTTTTCAGTTAGGAGAATACTTTACTACATTTAATTGATGTATATATACTTTTTAATATGTTATCAACTATGCTTTATAAATCTTTATTCATTTCACCATTTGTGAAATAAAAACATCAAGTAATGGAAGGAAAACAAATTTGCTACTTTAAGGTACCACTTACAGAACAGACCAGACAATTGTAGAAAAGTTTGTACTCACTATTCTAATTGCAGTAGGACCCTTCCTTGAGTTACCAGTTTCCTGGACCACTATTGCCATTTTTTTTTTATTGGTGAGATGTTGAGAATGAAATATGAAACAAATTTTGTGAAAATCCAGAATCACATTTTTTGCTGTTAAACTCCCATAGACTTACCAACAGACTGAATGTGAAGTGTTTTAACAGTACGGCTACCTCTAGAGCAAACTAGGCTTACCAGCTCACTGGTGTCAGCTCAATTTATGTGATTCAGAGATCAAAATCAGTGCACTGCACATAATTTGTAGTCCTTCACATTGCTTTCCAAATGAGTGGCATGCTTGTCATGGTATTAAAATTCTGATGTTTGCTCTCAACCAAACTGTCTACAGAAAATTCTACCTAAACATATTCAATAATTTTATTGAAAAAAATTCTTATCCTCATTTATCATTTTTAAAAAGCAGCATGGGAATCTCAAATCCAACAACCACAATTAGAAAGTTAGAATTATTCAACTCTATTTTAAGTTACCAACAGAGAAGACATAACCTCACCTGCTTGGTGCCGTCTTTAAGCAGCCTTTAAGATGTCTATCAGCACTTTCTTTGTGTGGTTTATCATCCACCTTGGGCACAGTTTCTTTCTTGTGACAAATCAGTGTGTAGTTTTTGTCGTCGTTGTTTGCCCAGAAGGTACCAATCGATGTTTCATATCGTATACAGAATTCCACTTTGGCTCCATCTCTCTGATAAGGAGGCACCAAAGAAATCTTAAAGCAGAACTGGTCAGTTTCACTGCCACAAGAATTAGGCATGAACTCTGCTAGGATATCGTAGTAACTGGCCCAGTCATCCAGTGTCATTCGAACATACACCATTTTTTCAAAAGACACATTGAGGACTCGTATAATGCCGTTCATACAGGTAATCCCAGGCAGGAACACAATTGACTCCAACAGTACTTTATGTTCTCGCACTTTTTGCAAAACTTCTTCTTGGGAAGTAGGTAATGTAAATAGCTGAGTTAAAAAAAATTCCTCTTGAGTGAAAGCGTCGTCTTCTAAGTCATTGTTTTGTGCTACGTTTGGAATTTCCCAGCTATCAAACTCTTTAACAGACACAAGATCAAACCCAAATGCATCAGCAAATGAAACCTTTCTTGCAATGGTGGTAGGAGCATCTGCCTCCTCTTCCTCTGAAGAAGCAGAATTCCGCCTTCGGGGAAGTGGAGAGAAACGGTGTTTAATGTCAGGTTTAACATCTTCATCTTCAGAAAAGTAATCGTTTACAGTGGGGACTTCTAATAAGTTAGCCTTGCTAACCCGACTAGGTCCTTCAAAAGACTCCATTGGGCTCTCTGATATAAACTGAAAGAGAACTGTACAACTAGTAGCAGCTGATATTTGAGACACTGTGATCTAAAACAAGGATTAATGTTACAGTTGACATTGCAAAAGGGACTCAGACCTATTAATAGATACTGTGGTGCGTCAGCTATGTTGGCTTGTTTTTAATCTGATAGTATTTGATGTTATAATTTCAATTAAACATTTCTAATGCTGCATTCCCTATTTTGTGTGGCTCTGTGTGCTGTGAAGAAAAATAATCTTTAAAATCTAGCTAAACAAGTGGAGCTATCTTTAGATGAACAACTTACGTTGCACAACAAATTCATCATATTCCACAAATGAAGAGCTATTAATCTTTGATGAGAATGTATTGGGTAAGTCATTGCTATATTTTAAATTATTTCCATATGTATTTTCAAGGACAATTTTTGTGATTCTTTAAGATACAAAAGTGTAATGCCACATTCTCCCCTGGCATTATACCACGATAACCCAGTGAGCCAGATCCTAGAACTATGCCAGCTTTTTCTAGCTAAGGATCAGCCATCACAACTTAAACGGACTATGAATGCTGTAAAACATTGAAGTAAACATCCTAGAGATGAATTTGTAATACACTACTGTAAATAGGACTGAATTTGCCACTAATTATATTACGAAATTATTACTGCATTGAGCACCATCCAACCAAATGAAGACAAAATCAAGTCATAGAATTAACTTGTGCAGCCAACCCTGAAACTCAAACCGTGTGTCACACGGCTATAAACAGGAGGAAGAAACACATTTTGCCGTTTAATTTTTCTCAGCCTTTGTGCAGGTTATCTTCCCATAACATTAAATGAAATGATTTCTCAATCAACTTAATCAGTTAGAATTTGTTTCACAATTTCATGGTATTCCATGCGTGGAAAAATGCAATGTTCATGGGACAAAGATCATGAAACCAAAATGTCATATTTTTGATTCATATTACTTAACCTGTTTTTCTTGTGTCTCTCTCAAAGGTTAAATCAATGCTATAATCTAATTGTGCAGTACAAGCTAATAAATATGACAGGGCTTGCTTTGATTTAGCCATGTTGGAGGCTGATGGCATTAGTGGCATCATCACAGATCTCTTCACACTTTCAAATGACTTGGGTCTTCTGATCTCTCTTGAATCCTTTCTCCTGTTGTTACAAGTAATTTGCCTCCTCCACCATGTGAACATCTCCAAGTCTTTCATGCTTCTCCACCTTAACCTCTTAACAGCTGTCCCATGGTAAGTCTTGAATATATCCACAGAAGGAGAATCCACAACCCCCCTGGGCAGCCTGTTCCAGTGCTATGTCACCCTCACTGTGAAGAAGTTCCTTCACATATTGGTGTGGAACTTCCAGTCCAGTTTATGGCTCTTTCTCCTTGTCCTGTTCTCACACACCACTGAAAAGAGGTTGCCCACATTCCTTTGACTTCCACACTTAAGATACTTATAAACATTAATCAGATCCCCTCTGAGTTTTATTTTCTCAAGGCTGAACAGACCCAGTTTGGTCAGCCTTTCAAATAGGAAAATGTTTATAAAACATCCATACTTCACTACCATTACCGTAATTTGAAAAAATACCACATAAGGAGAAATTCATAAAATCACTTTCTAACATAAGCTACAGAATTCCTAGCACAGCCTTTGGGATTTAAATGGTTTTAAAACTGTACTTTACAATGCTGAATTTTTCAGCAAGGGCTAACAGTGCAAATTTCTTGTTTAAAGACAGTAATGTTATCCAGCCATGTATTCTTGAGGGCCTAGGAAGGGAATGACACACAGCCACAGCGGACCTGCTCTATGCACATTTTGGTTTAGTATCTTGCAAATTAAGTGCTCTTTGGGAAATGAGGCTTCTTGCTCTAATGGCAGTTCTATTTCTCTAAGAAAATACTGCAGTAGCAATTACACAATCAAGGAGAACTTATTTATGATATTATTACCCTAATGGTTACTTTTATTTCTGTTTCATGGACACTTCCACAAACAAGAAATAACAGTGACTTTAATCAGCTCAGACAAACCTGTGCATATGTAACTGTCATGCCATGAAAGTAAAGGAACCTGAAAGAAAAGGAACATGGGAACTGGGAAACAAAGGGTTATTTATCAGTTTAGCCTAAGGGGTATCACTGAGTACCAAATTTTCACTCTTGTTCCATTATTTAGTAAGAGAAACAGCATGTACGCTGGCCAGTTTAAAAAAATAAAATAAAATAAAAACGGAAAAAAAACATTGAGTAAGAAATAAAAAAACAAAAGAAGAATATTTATACAAGAAAGAAATGTCATTGGTTACAAAGATGGAGGTCAAGAAACAGCTGAGAACAGAGGAAAATCACATTTCGTTGGAACGTGATTTTCAGTCAACAAGCCTAATCTTCAGTGCAGTGGGGTAGAGACTAAAACTGTTCCTCCGCCTGACCTAGAGCTTGCCTGGAAAGTTTATTCCATGTTAGACTTTTCACAAGGGTCTCAGTAAGTATTTAACCAGACGGATACAGAAAGGTACACCAAAGCAAGTATTATTGTGCATGTAAGAATTGCATTAACACTGTAAAATTATTGCTACAAAAAATGCTGTACAAAAAATAATGAAAATATCTTGTTTTTTTCTCTGCACCTTGCTATGTGGTGTCCAAAATACCTAAGTCAGATAACAGAATAAGAATTTCCTTTTGGCTTGTATCAGCAATAGGTAATTTAAGAATTTCTTCAAGGGGTAATTTCCTTAATCAGTTACTTTCTGAATCCTCATCTTCCTTACCTTTTTTGCACACACTAAATTCAAATGTTGAATCAAAGCACGTGTTTTACAGATGTTCTTGAATACTGCTTAATTAGCAATGGAAATAGGAGGTAGAATACAGTAAGAATGTGAAGAAAATAAGATGGCATCTGTGGTTTGCTTCTTTAGTGAACAGCATAGTAAACATTACAGAGGAGAATGTTATGGAGACAGCAGGCTTAGACATAATCAAACACACAGCAGAACACCAAAAGCAATAGCCAAATAGAACTTTAATTAAAAATAGCTTGCACCTGCCTATGTTTTTGGCATATTTATTGTTACCACTGGCCAGATGATCTTTCTTAGCCCTATCTGGAATGTAATATACCTTTCTGTGTCAATTGAAAAACAACTACATCTTAAGCACAGACTAAAGAGTAGTATAAAATCTGGTTCCACTTGGCTGGGGCATTCCCTAATGCCCCAGAAAACTGCATTTCTTCAGCTGAGAGTATGAGATGTATTACTTACTTTACTGCTATTTAATAAATCTATTAGGATAAAGCATAAAAATAGTTTTCCCTTGCAGAAAACTGTATTCCATTTGAGTGCTGAATGGTCAAAAATGCTGAACAAGAGGCAGAAGAAATAAGGTTAAATCCTTTAGGAAAAAAAAGAAAAAGAAAAAGAAAAACCCACAACAAACAAACAAACAAACAAAAACACTGCTGGCAAATATTGAGACAGATTTTGAAACAGCAATTCGTTCTCTAAATGTATAGTGCTATGGGAGTAAGAACAGCATTTAACTTAAGCAAGTTATTTTGTCGAAATTTCACGAGTGAAGCTAAATATCAATAATTAAGGCTGAGTAAGGAGAAAAGCTGCCTCGGTTGTTTTCTGATCTTTGTTACAGATTGAATGACTCAAGTACTTTTTAAAATACTTTGTCCTATGTACAACTGGTAATTTACTTTGTTAATATGTGATCCAAAGTGGAAGCCAGCTCACTCTTCAGCATTTGTGCTTTCTTTTTTTTTTGCAGAGAGAAGTAGAAAAATTGCAGTCTTCGTAAATAGATTTTTAAAATATGAACATTACAACAAGGGGATTTTGTCAGCTAAGCAACTGACAAAACACTTTAACTCTCTTTAAATCTTAACTGATGATAGAGAGGAAAACAGTGACAGAGGAAAAGATAATCAAGACATTCTCAACACAGTGAAAATTCAGAATAGACTACTGTACCAGAATTCCCAGATACTCCAGTTTCCAGGTTCATCTCTTCAAGTACATTTAATTTATTATAAATCAAAATGAAAAGAGTTTCACACATCCAGTTGATAATCTATCCTTTTTTTTTTTTATGCTTTCTTGTGGGAAATCCCAGGATTCCAAGAAACCAATATTTTACCAATGATATAAAAATATAGTTAAAAAATGCTCCTTTAGTAAGTTATATAAGCTTTTTTTGAAGAAGAATCTGCTTCCCAAGGATAGAGAAAATCTCTATAGGAAGAATAGACAGTATACTTTCTCTGCACCTATTTCTTCTTTTCAGATAAAATTGGACATTGACTAAGTGAGAGTAGTTACCACTTTCATGTCAAAGGTTTGCAGACTTTTCAGGCAGTGACAAGAAAACTCCCACAAAGAATAAGCATAAAACAGGGAATTTGCCTTACATTTTGTACAAGAAACTTGGGGAGTTTTTCACTCTTTCACTTCTAAATATTGGACTCAAAGGAAAACAAAATCAATTCCAGAAATAACATGGAGCAAGGAGAAACAAACAAGATGCTCAGAAATATGGGGTGTATATTTTCTTTGTGGGCATGCCTGAAAATCTTTACATTGGAGATCAGGGGTTTTAGGTCCTCAGAATATTTCTCTTTTGTTCATCTTTTTATCTTTCATTCTCCTTAACATCTTTCTTTCCTCGTATCATTTGCTGACAGGATTATTCATCTGCTCAGGTATGGAGCCCTTTTCTACACATTTCTTCTTCTTGCTTAGGATTTGAGTTCAACTTCTGTGCTTTTGATTTTTGAGTCTTTACTGTGCTTAAATTCCTGATCTCTTCAGTTTGTCTCCCTTTGATAACCTTAGTTTCTTCAGTTTCTGAAAGCCTGCCCTTAAGATTGAAAACCTCAATAAGATGGCTTTTCCTTATTCTTTATTTAATTTAGGTACTTGTAGATACTCAAAGTCCGGTCTAAAATTCTCTACAGTTAAAAA